GCACTGCTCTGTCCAGTACGTGCTCTTCGCATCTATGTAGACAGAACGCAGTGTTTCAGGACCTCAGACCAGCTCTTTGTCTGTTATGGTGGGAAGCTGAAGGGAAAGGCTCTCTCCAAGCAAAGGTTGTCTCACTGGATAGTGGACGCCATTGCTTTGGCATACCAGCAGCAAGGTCGACCGTGCCCCCTTGGTGTGACCGCCCACTCCACCCGGAGTGTGGCGTCCTCTTGGGCTCTAGCGCATAGCGCCTCGCTAACAGACATCTGCAGAGCTGCAGGCTGGGCGACACCTAACACATTCGCCAGATTTTACAATCTCCGAGTGGAGCCAGTCTCCTCCCATGTACTGTCTTTTTCAAGCTAACATGGGACCCGTTAGGTGTCTTCGCTTGCTCGCCATTCCACTCCACGGACTGGATACGTGCGATATTCTCCTCAGGTGAGCTTCCCCGAAAGCCCTGAGCTCCTCCAGCACTGCTGACGCTGGCGCCAGTGTCTATTGCCTGCGCGTCGGCTAGGTGCCTTCCGTGTGCATGGTTCCTCCTCTGAGTAACCCCCACATGTGTATTTCCACTGTAAGCCTCTTTGAGCATGTGTCTTTCCCTCGGCAAGCCACCTTGCCACCCCTGGGGTTGAAATATTCTACCTGCGGCTGGACACCCCAGTGATTCCCCATATGCATCCTTCGGGTCATATGTGTATTCTTAAGTCCCCCCCTCTGGGTTGCCAGTAATTGCATATTCCCCTAAAATCTGGGATATGCTCCCCAGTGTACCTTGGTATTCCTGTGCTAAATAGGAGTCCTTCGTCCGTGCTAGTCTCACGACAGGGATCTCAGATTTACGCAGGGCACTGGAAGACAGCTGAGAAGGTGGCGTGATTAGACTGGTATCCCCATTCGTCGTCATCCGACGGAACTCGGAGTGACAACGAAAGGGAACGTCTCGGTTACGGATGTAACCCTCGTTCCCTGAGTAGGGAACGGAGACGTTCCGTCTTCCTGCCACTTTCCGCTGTACCGCGGGGATCGCCTGAGCTCAGTCTTGGCTCCTCAGCGAAGAAACATGCCTATTTGGTGCCAGCGTTCTCCTTAAATACCCACGAGGTGAGGCGGAGTTACGCTATGCAAATTCCGCAGACCCATGGCATTTCTTTGCCATTGGCTCGTTTTTGTATACTCGAAGTCGATAGGCTTTCTAAGCGAAACCCCCATTCGTCGTCATCCGACGGAACGTCTCCGTTCCCTACTCAAGGAACGAGGGTTACATTCGTAACCGAGACGTTTTCAGGTACAGAATTGAAATAAAGTAATCAAATGTAAAATAACACAGCATAGTCTTCACTGTATTAATTAAATATATGAATCTTTATTAAAGTCATTCAGTCAAGACAGTGAGTGATTTTTTTGTTCTTTGTTGTTTGATCAACATTAAAAGCACTGCAGCAGATTTATAACGTTTTTTATCTCAGCTGTTTACATTCAACTAAGACATAACCAACTCCAAGATGGGCGTTTTTACATAATTTTGTGTGAATTCATCAGTTTGAGCTCAAGAAGACATGAAAGAGACAATGCAGTTTTCAAAGTGTGGCTTTCTGGTGTTCTGGCGCTAGTGTGTCGCTTCGGTTGTTTGCGCATAGTAAACTTTATGTCCTGTAAACTTTCCGTAATAATGTATTGGACCACTAGTTATACAAAAATCACTGTACCTGTTCAAGTTTTTACTTAAAAAACATTTCCTTGAAATATTTGAATTAAAATACAGGTCCTTCTCAAAAAATTAGCATATTGTGATAAAGTTCATTATTTTCCATAATGTAATGATAAAAATTTAACTTTCATATATTTTAGATTCATTGCACACCAACTGAAATATTTCAGGTCTTTTATTGTTTTAATACTGATGATTTTGGCATACAGCTCATGAAAACCCAAAATGCCTGTCTAAAGAAATTAGCATATTTCATCCGACCAATAAAAGAAGTGTTTTTAATACAAAAAAAAAAGTCAACCTTCAAATAATTATGTTCAGTTATGCACTCAATAGTCAATACTTGGTCGGGAATCCTTTTGCAGAAATGACTGCTTCAATGCGGCGTGGCATGGAGGCAATCAGCCTGTGGCACTGCTGAGGTGTTATGGAGGCCCAGGATGCTTCGATAGCGGCCTTAAGCTCATCCAGAGTGTTGGGTCTTGCGTCTCTCAACTTTCTCTTCACAATATCCCACAGATTCTCTATGGGGTTCAGGTCAGGAGAGTTGGCAGGCCAATTGAGCACAGTAATACCATGGTCAGTAAACCATTTACCAGTGGTTTTGGCACTGTGAGCAGGTGCCAGGTCGTGCTGAAAAATGAAATCTTCATCTCCATAAAGCTTTTCAGCAGATGGAAGCATGAAGTGCTCCAAAATCTCCTGATAGCTAGCTGCATTGACCCTGCCCTTGATAAAACACAGTGGACCAACACCAGCAGCTGACATGGCACCCCAGACCATCACTGACGGTGGGTACTTGACACTGGACTTCAGGCATTTTGGCATTTCCTTCTCCCCAGTCTTCCTCCAGACTCTGGCACCTTGATTTCCGAATGACATGCAAAACTGAGCAACAGTCCAGTGCTGCTTCTCTGTAGCCCAGGTCAGGCGCTTCTGCCGCTGTTTCTGGTTCAAAAGTGGCTTGACCTGGGGAATGCGGCACCTGTAGCCCATTTCCTGCACACGCCTGTGCACGGTGGCTCTGGATGTTTCTACTCCAGACTCAGTCCACTGCTTCCGCAGGTCCCCCAAGGTCTGGAATCGGTCCTTCTCCACAATCTTCCTCAGGGTCCGGTCACCTCTTCTCGTTGTGCAGCGTTTTTTGCCACACTTTTTCCTTCCCACTGAGGTGCCTTGATACAGCACTCTGGGAACAGCCTATTTGTTCAGAAATTTCTTTCTGTCTTACCCTCTTGCTTGAGGGTGTCAATGATGGCCTTCTGGACAGCAGTCAGGTCGGCAGTCTTACCCATGATTGCGGTTTTGAGTAATGAAACAGGCTGGGAGTTTTTAAAAGCCTCAGGAATCTTTTGCAGGTGTTTAAAGTTAATTAGTTGGTTCAGATGATTAGGTTAATAGCTCGTTTAGAGACCCTTTTCATGATATGCTAATTTTTTGAGACAGGAATTTTGGGTTTTCATGAGCTGTATGCCAAAATCATCAGTATTAAAACAATAAAAGACCTGAAATATTTCAGTTGGTGTGCAATGAATCTAAAATATATGAAAGTTTCATTTTTATCATTACATTATGGAAAATAATGAACTTTATCACAATATGCTAATTTTTTTAGAAGGACCTGTAGTTTTGCAAGAGCGTGATTAAAAACACAATGAGGCTGCGAAAGCTGTGAGTGTGCTACCTGGCATTTAACGTCCCTACTGTACATCGTCTGTACCATTTATCCATTTGTTCAACTGCCTTCTTCAAGACAAGTAAAAGTTTTCAAAAACCATGAGTTGGGTATTACGAATGTATTTTATGTCGTACAATAAAATGTGTGATATCTTGAATGTGTGTTAACCACAGACCTGATTTCATGCATTTAACCAAAAAAACCATTAAAAAAAAACCCATTGAATACAAGATGATGCTTCCAGAAGTGCTTATGCTAATTCACTCAAAGTGCACATTGAGCAGCGTTCATGTTCTGAACTTCCTTGACCATTGGTTGCAAATGCCACAGTTAGAGGCTCTGCTATAAAAACATAGCTGTTACTCAACTATCCACCCATTCTGTGCCTCAATGTCAACCGTGGGAACAGTCTCTTTTTACAGATTTTTACCATTTCGAGGACATATTTTTCAATACTTAAGTCACTTTTTCAAAACTCCTCACACGTTCTCCTTACCAACTTTCAGCTTGGTACAGCAATACATTTTACATCCAAAATGCACTAAAATGTTGTCTTATTTAGATTTATATTATGCTTACCAGGTTTGAAATAAGTATGTAAATGTGCAAATTGGTCTGTAGGTAGGCCTACATAGAGGTTTGCTAATGGTTGTGTCTGAGAGAGAAAATAATTCACATAATTTGAAAGATGTAATTATTGAATGTATTTTGTGCCAAACCAATGGAAAGCTTACCACAGTTTAGGTCTTAAAGAGTGTAAAAAAAACTGTAAGATGTCCAACTCTACTCAGTGACTATATATGCGCATTTCACAGTCGAGCACATGTAAGCTATTCATCAGTTTGTGGCATGTATGAAGCTAGGGAAGAGTGCCTTAGAGCTGTGTCTGCCTCTACGCCATTGGGGACTTTATGCACATGAGATCTCTTCTGGCTGAAACACTGTGTCCCACAACAAGTAGTTCAGTTCACAGTACATTCTGCCCCACACAAGCCCCATCTCTGCACTTATAACATGCATTTGGGTACGCAACATGCCAGGTTAATGTTTACCATTTATATCTTTCCAACAATTTTGTGAATATAGCATTTTTTGCACATTTGTAATGAGAAGCAGGTACCTTATGTACCTTTTGTCAAATTAACACTTACATTTAAATAAAAGTCTAGTCTCCATGCAGTTTTCCACCAAAATAAAAGCTTGATGGTTTAATGTTGAAATAAATATTATTTAAAAAATAAATAAATATTAGTAAATTGTATTGAAATTTCACTAATGTACTGTACAATAAATTATAGTACATATTCTATTTTATCATTGTAATCACAATTATAATGTGAATGCATAGAGCATTTTTTAACTCTGACTTTGTGGTCACTGAAAATTGTCTTGGTTGATTCTTGTAAAGTGTTTACTCTTACTTTACTCTTGTGAAGAGTGAACACCCTTAAAAAGCAACTATTTCTGCTGGCAGGGCAGAGTGTGTTCTCTTTGTTCCACATTCTGGAGATCACAATATTCTGTTTAACAAAATAATTGCCATATGAGTTTTTTGCCAAATTGTGCAGCGCTGACATGCAGTTTAACATGTTTCTTTCTTTACGTCAGGTTGGCTGCATGAGTTGGGCAGACGTTTAGACAAGCCCTATCTGAACAGTACAGTTGGTGGTCCTTCAGTTCGCAGTGCCTACATCGCCTCGTTGTATTTCACCTTGAGCAGTCTGACCAGTGTGGGCTTTGGCAATGTGTGTGCCAACACTGATGCTGAGAAGATCTTTTCTGTTTGTACTATGCTCATTGGAGGTAAGAAGCAACAGAATTCCTCCACAGAATTCTAGACAATTTCATTCATGGAAGTAGCTCTTTGGAATACCTCATACCTCATCACAACATGCTGCTCCATTTTTACAGTATTTGACAATAGAGGGAATCCATTGACGTCACTTTCCCGCCGGAACACGCCCCCCTCAGCCGGACTGAGTGGCAAAAGAGCTGCTGCGTGACTGGAGTTAATAGGGGAAACTGCGAAAATGCGAGTAAAACAAACTATTATCAGTTTAAACTAAAAGTTGGACTCGATATAGTGTTCCTTACAACTTATCAAAGATCCAGTGATCCATGGATATTGACATGCAGCCAGGAATCGTGTTTCCTGACACATGTGCCTGATTTCGACGCCGGGGAAATAAATTTGCCTGTAAACGTTTTCTATAAATACAATATAGATAGGTCTAAATCCGAGTGATCACTTACATTAATGTTATACTGTATATCATCATATCGTCCAGCCCTAAAACTTGTATAGTTTTTTGGCAGTGTTTATTTAAAAACATCCAATTATGCAGAATATAGTCTGTTCTGTAGCTTTTTGCAGTCTGTAAAAATATACAGTACCTCAGATTTCTGGTCAAATCTAGTTGCACAGTCAATCGCAAAGCTCTTTCCCGTTTTAGATGTGTTTTGTGTGTTTTTCACGGCATTCACGCTGCAAACAAATGCTGCCGCTCAGTCTTTTTGCCACTTGTGGGCGTGACCGCATTCACTCCGGCCGGCGGTGACGTCATGCGCATACCCTCTATTGCTTACACACAATTAGTAAAACTATGGCTCCTTTTCTTTAAACTCTACAGACTTAACAGATCCTAACATTATCTTCTATGATGTAACACAAACATCTTTGTTAACATCTCAGGAAATGTGGTTGAGTGTTTCATGACCCTTGATCCGCACAAACTGAACACAATTATCACAATAATTTTCACCATGAGAACATAAAATCATCCGCAGCCAGAACCTCCTAATAACAGCCAAAAACATCATCACTGACTTTTTTCATAGTACTGTACATGTTTGCATGTTTAACATTACATGTTTAACATTAGCCTGTTTAATGACCTTGTCGCTAATTTGCTAGATCAAAAATCATATTTGGTTCTTTCTCTAACGCAGCTCTCATGCACGCTGTGGTGTTTGGGAATGTGACAGCCATCATCCAGCGCATGTACTCACGTCGCTCACAATATCACACGCGCATGAAAGATCTGAAGGACTTCATTCGTGTTCACCGCCTGCCACGGCAGCTGAAACAACGCATGCTGGAATATTTCCAGACCACCTGGTCTGTAAATAATGGCATTGATGTTAATGAGGTAAGAATGTCATTGGCTTTATCTATGCAGGGATATCTTTTTATTTTTTTTTTTTAACACTAGTTTTTCTTATAAACAGCTAAATCTACTTATTTAAAACCTACATTTTTCTCTTCAATATACTAATAATAAATTGTGGTTGGGTATATGGTTCCCAGCATTTGATGTCAGTCATACTAATCCACACCCATGCTGCATATGATGAAGTGCTCGTTTTGTGTTCATGAACTCTTTAGAAATTCAGATCAAGACATTGCGTCAGTAGCTGTGATCTATAGAAAGTGGTGGGGGACCGATTCTTTCGACTGAAGGACAGAGAGTGATATGCTCAATACGAGCATTCAAGCACAGTAATGTGGTCAGCTTAGGCAAAGTTTTGTTCCCTTCGTCTCAGTGAACTGAGGTTGTCCTAGAGACATGTTTGGTGAAACTCAGCCAATGCAGATGTTGGTTGGGGGGGGGGGGGGTAGTAGGCAATCCGAGTTGGGTTTTAAGACCGGCATATTTCAATGCTTTCTCCAGCCAGAGGAACTCTGAAACAACATTTTTTTTTAAAAACCATCAAAGTTTTGTTTTATATCATTCTTTTCAAACAATGGTAAAGGAGGTTTTCTGTCTTTTCTGCAGCTCTTGCGGGACTTTCCTGATGAGTTACGTGCTGACATAGCCATGCACTTAAACAAAGACATCCTGCAACTGCCTGTGTTTGAGGGGGCTAGTAGGGGTTGCCTGCGTTCTCTCTCCCTCCACATCAAAACCTCTTTCTGCACGCCGGGAGAATATCTCATCAGACAGGGGGACGCATTGCAGGCCAACTACTTTGTCTGTTCTGGGTCACTGGAGGTTCTAAAGGACAACATGGTCTTAGCTATTCTGGGTTTGTAACACACTTTGGGTTTGTAACATTTCTTTGATGCTTTTTTACCTTTTGACTTGTTTTTTCTACATTCTATATTGACTTTCCTTCTGAACACTACACCTGATTTACTAATGCTACTGGCACAGTGTAATAGTAGTAATAAACAGTATGTTGAAGGAATGTTTCAGGGATCAATGTACAGCATGTGTGACATGCTGTCAATTACCACAATGCCACTTTCAACTGTTCTCCAGTTTGTGAAAACAAATAAAAATCAAGCTTACCTAAATTAGAAGTCTTAGTGTAACGGAGGCGAGCTAGTAAAAAGCTGTGCAAGTAAACCTCACTCCCCTATTCTCAAGAGGTGCACTGGCAAGTCACGACTGATGTTATGTCCAGTACGATTTTAATCAATCCCAGATGAAAGATGACCAATCGTGGTGATTTCTGTGGTCGTGGCTCCTAAACGGTTGTCCAACGTCGTACATTGAGAGAGGTTCAAAGATGGCCTTGTCACGGTCTTGCGACCAAAAAATTTCTGACAGTGTCATAAATTTAGCATGATCATCTCCCTGTGTGTTTGCTGCTACGACCTACATCTATACTGACTAGCCAATAAAAATGCAACATGAAATTCTGTTGATCAAGCAACAAAACTATTACCTCAAGCTCCAAGTTGGCCTCTTTTCCCTAGTCATGACTGCGTCGCTCAAAACCACAATCGCCAAAGTGTGATTCATCTTGCTCTATTTGTTTACCACTAGCACATGCTGATGACATTTTATTCTTCTATACTAACTCATAGCCTACAATTGAATAGGAGTACAGTCTATAGATGTCGTACCCAACTTTATTAGATCCATGTTGTACAGTGTGGGATTGCCGAAATTACACACTCTGTTGCAGGGATTAGATCCTGTGGTCTTTAGCATCGTTGTTAACGCACCCACCTCCCATGGTTGGTTTGAATCCCACTCGGAGCAGTGCGAGTAGGACCAGTGACAATGGTGCTGTAACTTTGATGGAAGTAAGGCTGGGTTGAGTGTAACGGAGTCAAGCTAGTAATAATAATTTGTTACATTTATATAGCGCTTTTCTTGGCACTCAAATGGCGTTACATGGAATGGGGAATCTCCTCAACCACCACCAATGTGCAGCATCCACCTGGATGATGTGACCCCACCACACACCAGAGGAGACAGAGTGATGAAGTCAATCAGTTCATATGGGGATGATTAGGAGGCCAGTGGGCAAATGTAGCGTCTTTGTTAGCACGCCCACCTCCCATGCCTGTGACACTGTTTCGAATCCCGTTGGGAGTGGTGGGAGTAGGACCAGTTACGTTAGGAGTAATTCCTTTGTATAAAAATGTGTGTTGTTTAAGCTGTACAGTTGTCAGAAATACACTTCTAGTAGTGGGATTACTGGTCTATATAGTTTAGTGTAATTTAGTGTTTAGTGTACAGAAGTGGTCTCATGTTAAATGTAAGTCTATGTCTTGTTATACTTTTAAAACAATGTGTAGTGTATTCCAGTGCAATACCTTGCCCTTTAGAGTTCCTTTGTAAGTGCATTACTGTAAAAAGTATATTGAACCCAAAACATTCTTTTAACAACTACAGTATTATACATAGATAAAAATAATTAAACATTAGATTGATATGGAATTGATGTCATTGATATCATTAATGTCATTGATATCGTTGATGTCGTTACAGGAAAAGGAGATCTGATTGGCTCAGACCTGCCAAGTCAGAATCATGTGATCAAGACAAATGCAGATGTGAAGGCATTGACATATTGTGACCTGCAGTACATCAGTGTGAAAGGTTTAAGTGATGTGCTTGAACTATATCCTGAGTATGCCAGCATCTTCACTACCGACATCCACTGTAACCTCACATATAATCTGAGAGAGGGCAGTGAGACTGAGGTATGGCTACGATCTATAACACACATACTTACATACATAGAACACTAAAACAAGACATTATCATAATCAAATCTGTCATATCAAAAAAAATATATATTTACTTGCATATTCACTGTCACTGTCACAAAATAATCTGTTTGTGAGTGCCCAGTCTTTATGTAAGAGGCTCTATGACCAAAAGAGCAAATCTTATTGTTTAGGCAGTTTTTTTTCTGTTCTTAGTGGAATGGAAAAGTGATTCTAACACCTCTCCATACAAAACCAAAAATCAAAAAAAAAATCTGTTCTATTGGTATACAAATGTTTAGGTTGGTGTGAACAGACACATTATCGGCCATTCATTCAAATTAAAATGTTTATTGCACCAAATCTTCACACCAATTGTGCGTTGGTGTAAACAGGCCTTTAAGCGTCCCACTGAAGGAAATGCTAATTCAGACCCGTACAGTAAAGGGCGAAGCACCAATGGACTTTATTCAATGTTTTAAACATTTTATCATAATTTTAGACACATTTTTAAAGTAGTCAATGTATTTTAAGTGTAATAGTATTAACAAATTATTTTTAAGAGACCATGAATAAAAAGCAAAATCTCATATGAGTGTTCAGTAGTACTGTTACATTTAAGTCTATATAATGTAACATGTGTTTTTATTCCGCTAATCAAAAACTTTCATTAATTGGAACTGATGGATATTTGAAAGTGCTTTCCCTCATTTTGACAGATAAGTGTTATATTCCCTTGCTTTAGAAACATTTCAGTAAACAATGCTATTTGAAAATTACCTTTTAAAGCACCCGTGTGAAAACAAACCAGGAAAGAGACATGAGTGAAGGTTTGGGGAGAAAACGATTCAGCAGTCTTCACAGTATCTGTTGTCTTTTTCATATTGTTAGCAGAATACAAAGAAAAGCAGAAAAGAAAAAAAAACCTTTTGCCACAGATTCTGGTCATAGTCATACCAATGTCACAATAAAATACTAAGAGTTACTTTATTTTACTGACAGATAAAAATAGGGCATGAACATTTTTGTACAGATGTACAGTTCCTTAATTCAAATGGAATGATAATTTATTATTTGATAATGATTTGTTTTCATCTTTAGAGTGGAAGTTCCTCTTCAAACTGGAAGTGCCACTCATAATTTGAAACCTCTTTTGGTAAAAGGTGGATGTACTTCATTTATGTAGCCATCAGAAAACCTAACAACAAGCTATATTCTTTAAAACAATGTTAACCACAAAACCAACAGAAACTGTTTTACATTTCAAACAAACTAAACTGACTCTTTCACTTAAAAGGCGGGAGTTACTAAAGTTGTCATACTGAGCGTTCCAGTTTCTCATATACCACTGTTGTCATTTCTTTGTCTTCTCCCTGCCGCAGAACTACCCAGATTCCTGTGCATCAACTGAGAATAAGCGTCCATCCATTGTAGAAAAGGCTGATGATGCAAACAAGTACTTCCACATCCCACCTTCTTCCAATACATGCCGAAATCTTCTTCTGCCAAATCTAGTCAGCCCAGTGCGACGTACATCCTTGGGGAACCTTTTAGGGGAGGAGTTACTGCAATTCAATGCCCTGAGACATTGCCGTTCACCCGTCAGGGGTTGGAGTCCAAACCCCTCCCCTAAACCACAGACCAAAGTACAGAAACAAACCTATCCACCCTCATCTACACCTAAACCCAGCCATAGGACACAGATAGATTCTGAAGGTACAGGACGCAAACCAGCCAAACTGCTCATCCCCACTTTCAACTGCTTTGGACCACCAGATCTTAGTCCAAGGTAACAGACAGTCTTAAGATTTACCGATTTTTACAATCACTGGGACACATTTCTCAATACTTAGATCCCTTTTTCAAAACTCTTCGCACAGTTTTCCTTGCCAAATTTCAGTTTGGCACAGCAGTAAATTTCAAATCCAAAATGCACTAAAACCACCAAAACACTTCATTCATGTCTCAAATTAAGTAATTCTTCCATAACACTAGCAAAGGTTGTCAACCAACAAACATACTTTGTTACTCATAAAATAATGCCCTAAACACTAACAGGTACATAAAGCATTATACAATGTTTTCTTTTGTAAAATGCCTTTACAAAACAAGAATGACACCTATCTACTGTTTGTAAGTCACTGCAGTATCCATGATACGTGATCCATGTTTACATTACAGTCCAAATTATTCATAAGTTGTCACCTTTTCATAGATGGTAATGAAATTGAAAGACAAACAACCATGTACGTGTTCAGCTAATTGCTTTGATGGTATTTAATTTTTTATTTTATATATTTAATAGTAGGCCTATTTCATATATTTCAATATGGTAGTCTTGTTCAGTTTTGTATTTTGAACTTGAGTTTAAGCATGTAAACGTGCGTAGCTGGTCTAAGTGAGAAATTAATTCATGTCATTTGAAAAGATGTATTTTGGGTCAAAGCAATGGAAAATTGTCCAGAGTTTAGCCCACATAGACTGATTGGCTTGGTTAGTTGGGGACATTAAATTTAACATTAAATTTAATATTCAACAATAATATTGATCTGCCAGCATTGACACCATTATATGAGAACTGAACTGAGCTGGACGATGACATCACGGTTTTCTCCAGAGCGGCTATAGGCCTATATACAAAAATTAACAACAAAAATGAAATATCACTGAACTTACTTAAGCTGGACTGTGGTGCTATTTTCTTCTGGAAACAAACTTTGTTGCATTATTTTCCTGTTATCTCTGTAAAGCTGCTTTGAAACAATCTGTATTGTAAAAAGCGCTATATAAATAAATGTGACTTGACTTGACTGATGTTGTGCTGTGTGAAGAGTGACTTAAGTGACTTAAGTATTGAGAAATGGGTCCAACTGTAGAAACTGTATTACATAATCTTAAAGATCCCATTAAATGGTTTAATGAATGCATTTCTCTTTCCTGTGTTGAAGTATTTCCTATTAAAAAAAAAAAAAGCAACATTTTTGGCATTCATGCCACAGCTCTGAAGCTCAAAAACTGAAGTGAAGAGAAAGTGAAAGACTATACAACAAATCTGCTATAAGTTGGTCAACATCCGCATAAAGACATAAAACTCTAACTCTGATTTGATGGGGTATTTAATGGTATTAGATCAGGGCTGGGCAACTCTGGTCCTTAAGGTACTTAAAGGGTTAGTTCACCCAAAAATCATGTCAGTAATTACTCACCCTCATGTTGTTCCAACCCCGTAAGACTTTCGTTCATCTTCGGAACTCAAATTAAGATATTTTTGATTAAATCTGAGAGCTGGATCACTCCTCCATAGGCTTGTTTTGTGCGCATAAAAAGTATTCTCGTCGCTTGATAAACTTAAGATTGAGCCACTGTAGTCACTCTGACTATTTTAACAATGTCTTTCATAACTTTTGGGCCAGCCAGTTTCGATCCCTTAAGAAGCCTATGGAGGAGTGATCCAGCTCTCAGATTTAATCAAAAATATCTTAATTTGTGTTCCGAAGATGAACGAAAGTCTTACGGGGTTGGAACAACATGAGGGTGAGTAATTACTGACAGAATTTTCATTTTTGGGTGAACTAACCCTTTAAGGTTGAAAATTTAATGAGTCAGTTTTAATCAATAATTGCATTTTATTGAGTCATTTTAAAGAAATGTAGAGTTTTTGTACAATTGATATTTGTGCATAAAAGACTCAGTAACTGACTGTATGGCTTTTTATAGAGTTGTAGATGGTATAGAGGACAACGGACATGCATTTCATTTCAATGTGGAGGACAAAACTGCCAAAACAGTGACATCATTGGGTGATAAGACACTGGACGGTAAGGATATTTTAATCTTAGTATCTAAGTAACATATAGATCATTTGGGTCATTGCTTTGTTTTATTTCAGGATCTGGTCAGGTGAATGCTTCACTGCTTCAGGAGACAAAAGAAGTGAGAGAGACCATTACCCAACTCAACAAGAAGGTACAATGACATTCTATCATTCCTAAACACAGAGATATTAAATCCTTCTAAAACGTTTATACGCTCAGCAATCGGAATTGGCATGAGGTGCATTCAAATGAAAATGAAGTATTAGGTTACAAACATTACTAATATTAACAATTCAAGTTAAAGCTGCAGTCCGTAGCTTTTTGGGGGTTAAAAATTATCCAAAATGCATATTTGAGAAAATACATAACCAGCCAGTGTTCAAAACTATCTGCTTGCCGTAGCTCGACGGTGGATTTCCGCGGGAGATTCGAGCATGTCTTTGCGTCATTACGTCACATCTGTACACTTAAAGAAGGAGTCTCGGCTAGTAGGCTATATTGCGTGTGAGGATGCTGGAGGTGGAGATTTATGGCCTTTTCTCACAGCACTTGATATAATTAAACATCAATTTGATGGCGGATCCAGAAAGGTTCAAACAACAATCACCAGTGACAACTAGAGATTCACCCGCTGTAAAATGCAAAAGACTTCGTTTGGACTTCGGAGTGGCTACAGAAGAAAAGAGACTGCAACCGGACCCATGCGAAAGCAAGGATACATAACGGAAGGACATTACCTGTAGTCACGCAATGCTGGCATTGTTAACATTAACAATTTGAAAACAAAGTATAATTTGCACGGTTTTGCGTGATATGATAACTTATAAGCGATTGTTAGATTTAATCAGCGCGATTTACTGCAATGTCAGAACCAGAACAAAAGTGGATGTTTCTTTCTTACTAGTTAAGATGACATTTTCCGGTGAAAATTCTTATGTTGGTCATACTTCCAAAAAGAATAATCTGTGATTCTGAATGACAGTATCCACACCGGTGCGGTGACTGACAGCCTCACACTCTCCTCAAACACTGTGTTCATCCGCGCTGTGCCGTGTCGAGGGTGTTGAAGTACAACTCACGTAAAGTTGATAATTCCGCGAATGACTGCAATTGCGAACAGAGATGGCGACAAAGAGGAAAAAATGCCGGACTGCAGCTTTAAAGGGATAGTTCACCCAAAAAATTTCTGCAATCCTTTACTCACTCTCAAATTGTTCCAACCCTGTATGAATTTCTTTCTTCTGCTGAACACAAAAGATGATATTTTGAAGAATGTCGGTAACCAAACAGTTCATTATCCCCATTTACTCCCATAGTATTTTTTTCCTATGGAAGTCAATGGGTCCCATCAACTGTTTGGTCATATTTTTCAAAATATCTTCTTTTGTGGTCAGCAGTAAAAAAGAATTTCATACAGGTTTGAGAAAAAACTTGAGTGTAAATGATGACCCAACAGATGCCAGATCAATCCAACAGTTCATGAAAATATTACACGACACCCTCAAATACCATGTAAATGTACTACTTTTTAATATATTTTAATACAATTACTTTATAACTCTCTCCAGATGGGCAATCTGAAAGAGGAAGTGTCACTTCTAACAAAGGATCTGCATCACATAATGCACCTGCTGCAAGCACAGATGGCCGTTCGTCAGTACGCAGCTCCTATGTCTTCCTGTCCCTATGGACACATGATGTCCAATTCTTCTGTCAGTTTGTCTCCGGCCTACATCTTGGGTTCTAGCATCCACATGCAGCACAAAGACCATGCTGTCCCTGAGAGTCACCTGGGGTCCACATCATGGAGTCATAGCAGGGCTGGTGGTATGACCAAAAACTCTGTATAGTTTTTGTTTGTTTTTTTCATTGATGAAACCATTTGCATTTCTCTACACAAGTTTACCTTCTAAAGAGACTTTACACAATCTTTGGCATCATTTGATTAAAAAGTTTCTCTGGTATGTGCAGGTGGATCTGGTTTTGCTCAGCACACTGAGAAACAGGGACACTTGCACCAGCATGAGTCTAATCAACACTGTCCCGTCACAGCAAATGACCCCTGTTCCCATGACTGGAGCTCCATCCACTCCTCAACCAGCCAACATCACTTCTCTACTGGATCCACTCTCCTTAGCATCAGCCCAGGAACCCATGGGCCAAAACCTGGAGAAGGCCCCCGAGCAGAGGGCTTATCACTGGGCGTTTGTGCTGGAGCTCATGCCAATATCAGCCAATCGCAGCCTGTTTTGCACCCATTTCTTTCACAAAACTTGGGCGGTGCCTCTTTCTCCTGCAAGGTCACACCTAGCTCATATTCACACCTACACCTTTCCACAGAACCAGCGTTTTCCTACTCCACTCCAACCCTAGGTGAGGTGATCATGACTCCAGAAGTGGCCCTCAATCAGAACCAAAATGTGGTTCCTTCCACTTCCCTACCAGAGAATTATCCACCTTCTCCAAAGGAATCGGGTGTTCACTGTTCTCTTGGGGAGTCATCTGAGATAGAGCACACCAGTCAGGAGTGCCTACTGGGTAATCAAAGGCTGGGCGAAGACGGTGAGATATCAGAGAGCAGGTCTAGTGGATCCAGTGCAGGACTTCAAAGCCAATCAGAGAGCACAGAGACCACATGGTGCTTGGATTTGATAGAATGATATAGGAAAGACTAAAATCAAGACAATGGAAACAGATTCTGCAGCCAAAATTTCAGTTTGAATTTCCATTGACACAACAGTCCTTTCATTGTGAATTTCATAACTTCATGAGTATGATTAATGGGAACTAGCAGCACAGCAATTAAGCTTTTCCTGTTGTACTGCAGAAAAAGGCAGTTCTGGTGTTGTTGAAAATTTGGCTCCGCACTAGCCTCTAAAACCTGCTGGTCTTAAACATAAAAACCACAAAATATCAGAATCTGGGGGCCGGATGTTCTTTCCAAGTAAGTTTACAAAACTACAACAACTCACACGAATGACACTCACACAGACACAATAAATGAAGCTATTATCATTGTTAATAGTATGCTTATTCAGTTGATGTACATCACACATAATTTCACATTCTTTGAAAAATTCTGTCCCACGTCATTTTATTCATGTCTGAAACACAAACGAAGATATTTGTAATATTCTGTCATCATTTGTCATTTGTCACTGTCATTGAAACAGCAAGTTTCAGGCTTCAAAAAGTTCACGAAGACGCAGTAAAAGTAATCCATATGAATGAATGAGTAATCCAAGTCTTCCGAAGAGACACAATGAAAAGATTTACTTTTGAAGACCTAAGGTTGAATGACTAAGCTGTAAACAGTGTAGAAATAGCCAGAACTGATTTACCAGTATTCTCAAGAGGTTCTGTTAACACGTGACCTCTAAACAGTAATCAGTAATTTTGCAGGAAAGAATGTGCGTGTGAACTCTTCAATTGCACACATAATTCTGCTCAGTTCTCGATGCAGGACACTAAAAAAAAAAAAACCTTTAAAGAGATGGTGCTTTGAAAATTATCTGCTTGAAGTTTTTTCTATTAAATCTTTTTCAATAAGTTTTATTCTAACTTACAGACTACATAAATATGAGCTAATTTTCCATTATCTGAGCACACTCATCACACTGAATTTTAATGCACACTAATCTGAAAACTGTTTTTTTCTTTTCAGAAACTTGGTTCCTGGTATTCCATCATTTTTTTTCAAAAACTGTAAAACTATGCAAAGGCACATGTGAATTATGTCATTAAATGGAGAGCAACTCTACTAAAAAATGGACTGTTTTATCTAGGTGTTCATGAGTAAAGTAAACTAAACTTGTTAGTTTGTTACTGTGGACATCAGCTGTAATTTTAAAGACATTACAAAGAATCACTTTTATTGAACTATGATTTAGATGGTAGTTTTTTTTTTCTCCTGACTTGTATAGTTGTTAATTATTTTTCCTAAAGAAAATGTATTCTGAAATGTTGAATGAATATTCTAAATGTTTGCATACAAAGAACATTTACATACTTTATCATTTTCCTTTGTAGATCTTGACTGTTTACGCAGATGGGACATGTAAAAAAATAAATAAATAAAAACAGTCAAGTGCACTTAAGGAATAAAACAGTTTTGGCAGCAGACTGTTCTGACAAACTGCTATAATCTATGCCCGTAATGGACCAGCTTCATTTTAATATTTCAATCAGATGACCTCATGTAGCCAATATACAGATATAAAGAAAGCCTCTTTAAAACCTATATGCACAATTGGCAACGGAAAAAATACAAAATACTGCATGACAAATTAGTAAAGCTAATTAAAAATGTATGCATTGTAAAATATGCTGAGTAATGCTGTCTTTGCTAAATCTGTGCACGTTGCATGTTGTTGGAATTCCATTAAAACATATGATGCTTTAAAAATCTGCTGCCAGAATTCCAGTAGTACTCTATTGCACTAAATAACTGAATTTAATACTTGGATTAATGAGACTCAGGGTTGATTTTTTTATTTGCACAATATGTGACCACTGCAATGATTAGGAGCTATTACAATTTAATGGACTGTACATTATACAACATGAACCTGCACACACATGACTTATGCATGTAATTACAGTTTATGTGGTAACACTTTACAATAAGGTTTATTTGTTAACATTAGTTAACTACATTATTTAACATGGAATTACGGTAAGAATAACCAATACTTCCTCAGCATTTATTGATGTTAATTTCAACATTTACTTATACATTTTTTAAATCAAAAGTTGTATTTGTTTACATTATTTGTTAAGATTAATAAATTTAATCAAATATATTGGTCACTGTCAATGTTAAGTAAGGGAATAATTTACTACAGATCGTTGAATTTCAGTGGTTTTTTTTTTTTTTTTTTTTTTTTTTACCATTGCTAGGACACATTTTTTAATAGGTCACTTTTTCAAAACTCTTCACACAGTTATCATTACCAACTTTCTGCTTGACACAGCAGTTAATTTCACATTCATAATGTACTAAAACCACCAAACCTCCATACGTCACAAATCAAGTCATTCTTCCATCACACCAGCAAAGGTTTTTAACCAACAAACACACTTTGCCACTCATAAAACAATGACATATAAACACTTAAAACAGGAGCATTACACGTTTTCTTTTGTAAAATGTATTTTACAAAAAAAAAACCACTGACACTCATAACTGTTTGTAGTTCATTAAGCTACATTATCCATGTTTACATTACTGTACAAAATTATTCCTAAGTTTTCCCCTTTTGTATAGATGGTAATAAAATTGTAAGACTAACTGTGTGTTCAGCTACATCTAATTATTTTGATAGTATTTAATTTTTTAGATTCTTAATATAGTTATATATAATAATTATATAATATATAATAACAATATAGTTAAAAATATAATATATAGTATTACTGTAAAATGTAGCAAATTTCTGTCTTCTGTCTGTTAGGATTTGAACTTAAGTTTAACAGTTTTGAAAATAGTATGTAAATGTGCAAATTGGCCTGTAGGTGCAGTATAACTAATGTTAACAAATGACACCTTATGTAATAATAACGTTTTATTTGGTTGATCCTTTATTGTTTAAACATTTGAGTGGTCATAAAAGTAGCATTGCAGTGGCAGACTGGGGAAACCTGATTTTGAGTGTATTTTTTTTTACTCCAAAACTATGACACTGAATACTAAATACAGATTTGCATATCGTTCTGTATAGAGGACTGTTAATGCTTTTATTGATTGACAGTTTTAGAAAACATCTCTTGATTGTTAAACTCTTTCATTGTTCTCATTTATATAACCTTGCATCTTTTATAAAATGGTAGTTTTTCTTATTTTACCATATTTTTTAGCATGGTAACTTATTTCAATTGTAAATTTGCTTTGTTTTTGTGCATGCAATTATATTAAATTATGAGGATTCCAATAAAACAGTTTTTCCTTAAGTGTGTTCTAAATATCGTTGTCTCAACTTCCATTTCGACAAGACAAACATGCTGGATTGGGGCACAGGAAGAAATCCTGATCTGTTTTGGGCAGGGTCAGAAATTAACTTTTGCATTAAGGGGTAATATTTGCCGCCCTGAAAATTATTTCCATGGGGCATTTTTTTTACCTTTATAACCTTATAAAATGTATCTGTGTTGTCAAATTTAATTAATGAATATAACAACTATGAATAATGAGATACTCTATGGTCTGAAATTGTTCATTAACATGTTTTTATGCCCAAATGTAGCAAACATGTATACACAACAATTGCATAATGTTATGAAATTAATGTTATTTTGAATACATGAAGTAAATTTCAGGTTGCTCTGATGCCTCTTTTCATTTACACAGAACTAAAACAACTGTCTTTTTGAGGTGGGTCATATCAGATGTTATCAAATATAATATGCTTGTATATATACTCATTTTTCCAGGTTATGATTATATTCTATCACTTTGGATGTTATTGCTATCAGAGCCTTTAACAAGCCAAAAAACAATGAGTATCACTTTGGTACACTGGCAAGGAGACAAGATGCCACTTTTTCAACACTCCCAATATGATTGATAAATGCTGCAGATTCAAGACGGTTGCCAAAATTGCCCTCTGGCATCTTTATTGCGAGTTGCGACACTGCTGGTAAACCCACTGCATTCAGAGAGAAACATTTAATAATATGCTGATGGAAAGGGCATGAAAATTGTATTATGAAAAAATTATAGTGCTGCAGTATAATTTTGTCATCACGGCATGATATTTTGTGGTATGATTTTCATGATCAGATGCCTTAGGATTAAGAACAGGTTGTCTTTTTGAATGGATGTCATTGGAGGAGAGGCTTCAATATACAGAGTTCAGTGTGTTAATTGTTTGTAAGTTAACAGCTGATTACTTTATGAATTGACAGCCTGTCTGTTAATCTTCAACCTGAGGGTCATAAGCTTGTTGTCATTGTTACTGTATCCAAATTCCCTGAATTTACCTTCTTTCAGAACACTTTTTCAGAACCTGAAACTGAACTCAATGATACTTTTATCCATTCATTACAGGGATTGCAGTTTGGTGAAATTCTGTTCCAGCGACGTGATTGGCTGTTGTTCCAGATTAACCTAGGCATACATGATCCTGAAATGTTGAATTTTCACCCATGCATTCATTTATACCTCAGTAGGTAAGTCTGTATATATTGTTGTCACAAACAGCATTCATTAAGCGTGTACAGATCTATGAATGGATATGGATAAGGCTTACACCTCAGAAACATGACTAAGCTATTGAACATGCTATCTATTTCTGATACAGAAAAGTTAGTACATGCATTCATTACCTCTAGACTAGATTAATGTAATGCATTACTTGGCGGTTGTCCTGCATCCTCAATAAACAAGCTACAATTAGTTCAATATGCAGCCGCTAGAGTTCTTCTTACCAGGTCAAGAAAATATGACCATTTAATACCAATTTTATAATCTCTACATTAGTTACCTAATAACAATCTTCTATCGCCCTTCTATCCATCACGCTCTTTAAGGTCACAAAACTCTAGGCTTTTGGTAGTAGGATATCCAAGTCCACTAAAGGAGGGGGAGCACTTTTGCATTTGGATCCTAAACTCTGGAACACCCTTCCTGGTGATGTTCGGAGCTCAGATACACTACCCCAGTTTAAATCTAGTCTAAAGACACATCTCTTTAGCCAAGCATTTACATAATACATCTCATAACCTTGAAAGAGCCTGGGAAGATGCAACACTCCTAGTAGAGTCAGCTCTAATGCCCAGAGGTGAAGGGAGCTTCCACACCTCATAAGCCAAAGAAATTGCATCTCTCACCAATGAGAGATCCTGTGCTTAGAGGAAGCGAGCCCTCTGTGGCCAGCCCCAAAGCATTAAAACAACTGAGAGGACTTGCGCCACTGGCCAGAGCAGTCCACATACAGTCCTCCATGCAAGGCACACTCACAGAAAGAGCCTACCTAAGGGGATCTGGTCTGTGTCCCGACATGCGGCGATAGCCGCGATGTAAACTCTCAAAGTAATCGCAGCCACTCTGGGCGCAAACTTATCCCCCAGGAATTCCAGCACTGAACCAACCAGCAGCTGACTGGATCCACTGCACGAAGACCTTCCAATTTAAAAATACAGCCCTCTAGTAAAAGGTACACGAGCGTAATCAATTGTCTCCCAAACATTAGCCGAAAGACCAGAAGCCCCTGAATGGCCACACTCACAGCCTCCATATCTCGGGATGAGGATGCTAAATCCTGCCCTGAAGCTAAGACATCAGAACTATCCTGATTGGAATTTCCCACAGGGACCCTTCCACCAAGGACTCAGCTCCGAAAACCACGTCTGGGATGGCCAGAACGGGGCTACTAACAGGAGGCGAATTCCGCACTCCCTCACTCTGCAAAGGACTGTAGGGATTAACTTGACCTGAAGGAATGAGCAAAAGCATCTATCCCCAAAAGCGCCAGATGAGACAGGGGTTCCAAATCTGAGCCACCATTTGGTGGTGCAGCATCCACTACCCCGACCTAAATTTCTGTCTTGACAGGAAGTCTGCTGCAAGGTTCAAGGCTTCTGGAACGTGAACTGCTGTCAGCAAAAGGAACCTGTCTTGAGCCCATAGAAGGAGGAGGTGGCACGCATGCCTGTAAAGGGTGCATGACCACGAACCTCCCTTGCGATTTATGTGGGACACCACTGCCATGTTGTCCATCCTGACAATAACATGACAGCCCGTCAGGGCCGGAAGGAAGTTATCCAGAGCCAGAGAGACGGAAAGCTTACCAAGAAGGGCAAATGCTCCTGAGTTTCATCCACCACAGGAATGCCCTCAAATGAAGTAGACCCGAAGGCAGCTCAGGAGAGGCTGCTGCCATGAGCCCCAGAAGTCTTCGAC